ACAAACACATACATACACACACACATAAACACACACACACACACGCGGGCGAATGGAGAATGGAACCAGGCTCAACCCGATGCACAACCACTGCGGCCGTCATGAGTCAGGACGAGGAGGGGCGGTGAGACTGCTAGTGATGTCTGCACTGCTCTGCCTGCTCTTGGTGAGTTCAACCTCTCGCGATGGATACTTCATTCGATGTTAAAGGTTCCAGATAAACGTTAATGTTGTAATGCGAGCGTAAATGGGAGCCCGGTATTGGGGGCGTGTGGGAGGGGCCACCGTTCACCTCGGCTCCAATGGGAAGCGAGGTGAATGGGGGTGGAGCCAGCAGGGCAGTATGGGAAGGCCGGATCTAACGATACGGAAAGGGAGGAGTCAATTTGATCCCACTTCCCAATGTGGCATCGCCTGCAAACTTGGTATACGTATGTCATACCGATGACAACACTATATTCTATCATAAAAAAATTTAATAAAACATTTTAAACGATATTTTTGCACGCTTTCTTTAAACTCACTCTCTGTCGTTGTCGTATCCTCAAATCTTGTAACTCAATTTGAACCCACTTCCCAATGTGGTATCAACTGCAAACTTCGTATACTTATGTCATACTGATGACAATACTATATTATATAATTAAACATTTTTCAAATATTTTTCAACCATCTTCTTATATGTTATGTTTCGGCTTGGGTCTAATTGTCCACGCTCAACTGACGTTGGCTGTAAATCACCACGGTCCCTTACGTTGTGGCAAGCTTCGGGGCCACTTCCTGGAGTCGTGGAGTTCTGGCATTACGAGTACGGTACATTTCATTAGAGCGTGTTTTTAAAAAAGTATTTTAATTATTACTTTTAGAGCCTCGTTTCAAGCAGTGTTAGACCAGAGGACAATGCCAGAAGGCAACCAGCACAAGGACAATGACACTATCAGGACATTGAGAGCTCGGGGTAAACATCTACATCATAGGACCTCCCCTGCCAGTATCAAAATATAAGAATAGGGGTTTTACCCTTTCTGCCAGTAAAACCTATTGTGTTTTGATACTGGCAAAGGGAAAATAGGCTGCCAAGCTTAGCAGTGTTCATTAGGACGCTGTCTTTCCGACAGACCTGTTCTTCACCTGAGGACGGCTGCTTGCGTTGTGGCCGAAACGTCGTGAGAATTTTATCTTATTATGTTTTATTTGTATTATTTTATTATTTCCCTTCTACGTGACTTTACCGAAAGAACCAAGAATATGGCAAAGGGAGGTTCCATGATGAATTCTCGCAAGCTCGTCTCCAGGGGGTTTTGTGACATCAATCACAAGTTTAACACAAATGTAGTGCCATGGAAGGTGTCACTATGGCGCAAAGCGCCGGTTGCTAGCAGAGAAGGGGATCTGGGGTTGTAGCAGCCCTGTCTGCCAGCAGGTCATTGGCCAGAGAGAGGCATGTGGGGCAAGGCGATAGAGGGGGCCAATGAGGCCCTATCCTCGTTCAAAGCTTTTCCCTCCAATCACTTTCAAAAGCCCGTCGCCTCCTGGCCAATCCCTGCAGAGACCTCGTTCCTCCAATCGGAGACCTCGGTTTGCATTTTTGAATAGCCGCGAGGCTGCACATTGGCTTGGGGTCATTTACCGGTCATTGCACAAGTACAGCCAAGCCACGAACATTTATAATCTTGATTAGCGTGATGTTTCGCCGGTATTTCACAAACGGCCTTATCGGGCAACAGCCACAGTTGTGCAAGAAGTCCACCGGTTTCGTTCCTTAAATAGAGGGGTGGATGTAATGGCGTCACTTGTGCGCTGTGTCGGTTGGTGGCGGGTTTAACGACACATTATTATATATGTACGCGGTCTAACCCCAACAAAATCTGTATCGGGGATCAATTATAATTATGTAAAGCAACCAAAAAGACGTGAAAACACCTAGGTTTACAATTTATGAGTAAAACTCTACTCATGATACAGGTTTTTGGGTTAGATCGCGTTATTTATAATTGTGTCGTAACCCTCCACCACCCGACACGGCCAAACAGTAAAAAATGTGTCACGTTTTTTCAAAGGACAAAATAATTCACTTCTTTAGCCCACCGGTGTGCTGAAGAGAGAATCAACAGCATTTTAAAATTTGAGTAGTACGACGTTTCGCTGATAATTACAATCAGCTTCACCGGGCAAGAATGGTGAAGCTCTCCTGTTGCTTCCGGTCTTAAAAAACGTCGTACTACTCAAATTTTTAAAATGCTGTTGATTCTCTCTTCAGCACACCGATGGGCTAAAGAAGTGAATTATTTTGTTCTTTGAAAAACGTGAGACATTTTTGTTGATTGGCCGTGTCGGGTGGTGGAGGGTTACGACACATTAATAAATAACGCGATCTGACCCAAAAACCTATATTATGAATAATATTGGTCGCGAAAGCCTACGTGTTAAATTAAAACTCTACTATCTACACAATATACAGCATCAACCTGTATATTATGTAGATAGTAGAGATGTTGGAGCAGACTACCCGGATGGTGCCATGAAGATACCAAAAAAGTGATTGGGTGGGGTGAGCACAGATCCCCCGAGTAACACCCCAGAGGACCAGTCATCTACAGTAGTGTGTAGTAGTGTATAGTGTAGTTTATAGTAGTGTAGTGTATAGTAGTGTGTATTAGTGTATAGTGTAGTGTATAGTAGTGTGTATTAGTGTATAGTGTAGTGTATAGTAGTGGAGTGTGTAGTAGTGTATAGTGTAGTTTATTGTAGTGTAGTGTATAGCAGTGTATAGTAGTGTATAGTGTAGTGTATAGGGGAGTGTGTAGTAGTGTATTGTCTAGTGTGTAGTAGTGTCGTGTAGTTTATAGTAGTGTATAGTGTCGTACACTGTACGTAGCCAACCGTGCTAATCAGAGGTGGGTGTGTGGGTGAGAGTGTGGGTGAGTTACACACTGGCTAGGAGATGTTAACTACCTCGCCTGGTGTGCAGGAGGTCGTGGGTTAGATCCTAACCCTGATGGTGCCTGCTGCTGTACATTGCGTGTCTCTCTCTCCCCGTGGTCGCGTAGATTTTTTTCCGGGTCCTCCGGTTTCAGAATCAACGTCACGTGTTCAGAGTACTTGGCCGCTCCTATACATTTCCACGTGGTGATGCTGACATCAGCAACTTGGTTGAGCAGCTATCACTACGGATGGTATGGGTCTCTGTGAGCCTCTATGTAAATGAATGTCTGGGGCCGTCCATAAATGACGTCACGCGATTTTGGCCGATTTTTGACCCCCCTCGTCACACGGCGTCACAAAAAGTCAGACCCCCCCCTCAAATATGACGTCACAAAGCTCTGCCCCCCCCCCCCAAAACCATATTTCCATTTTGAAATAAAACATGCTTAAAATAAATTTCAACTATCGTCATTGTAGTGCGTATTTAATGTGGCGCTGTACTCTGATGTTGTAGGAGAAAACATTCATTAAAAAGAAGGCGTTGGAAAGCTGAAATTTAGCATAAAATTCACTTTAAAATATTCATCGTCTAACTAAAACTGCAGATGTTCAGAATATTCTATTGAAATTCTCTTATAGTTATCAAATATTAAAAATAATTATAACTCTAAAAAATACTTGAAACTTTGTAGTAGAACGAAGCAAAATGGAGAGTATAATTATAACAATCACATATTCATTCCACAGAATGAAAAGCCCTTGTAGAATCAAAATGTTTAGTAACAATCATTTTAAAAAATTACAAAATGTATGCTTCTCCATTCTCCCATGGAGAACCAAAATGCTCCTTCATTCAATAAATAGGGAGAGCATGAATCTCTTCATCCGACGTTTTCAGCCACTGTCGGAAAATTATCGACCATCAACTGTGACCAAATTTCGGCTAGAGTGTTTCCTGCAAACGTAAAATTATTCTTCTCTAAATCAGCGTCGATGGTAATACCTCTTTCGTTCAAATGACTACCGTAGTGGTCATGTGGTAACATCAATCCAGTAAGTTTCTTACTGAGTGGCGCCATTTTTCTCTCGACCCTATTAAATGTACTGTTGCACTCCGGTCGTTGTTGTGTTTGTTGTCGTAACGTTGTGAGCGCCGTGCACTCCACTGGACCATCCGTGATTTTTTCGTACAAAGAGCTTCACAGCTCATCGGATTTCTCCTCCAGCCATCGACACGATAAACATTCCGATTATTTTGAGGGGAAATGAAAAGCTGTTAGGTCCATTACTCACTCAGCCCGCCAGATGGCGGTGCGTCACCCCGGATCGCAAACTGGCACAGTGAAGTAATGGTGGGTGTGGTATTGGAGGTCACGTTGCTCAAGGGGGAACTACATCAGCCACTTCTACGCTGGGACACTTCCTTTCGGTTGTGCGGTGGTCGACCCATCCACCGATGATGAAGTCGAGGTTGATGGCCTCGCGACTCTAAAGGAATTGACAACATTCTGATGATTCTGAGGAGAAATTAAAAGTTTACACCATTGGAACCTCATTTGGCAAATGAGGTTCCAATGGTGTAAATGCTTACCCCGAGCTCTCATACTCTGATGGTGCATTGTCTTCGAGTTGTGCGCCTTTTGGCGTCATCTGGTCCGACCCATGTGAGACTAGGTTCTAAGGAAAGCTGTCTCGGGTGTGGACCAATCAACTTCACGGACAATGCATACATTATCAGAGTTGTGTTATTTGTTTGCATTATGACTGCAGGTATTGTGGTCTATGCAAACATGACTCCTTGTAAAAAAGGTGTCAGTTTTGTTGCCAGATAGAAGGGTAAAAAAACAATTATCATACTTTTTTACTGGCAAATGAGGTTCCAATGGTGTAAATTTAAAGTTGTTAGGTCCACTCTTTGGTTCTTTCGGTAAAGTCACGTATAAAGAGAAAACAATAAATTAAATACTAGGTCCATGACTCACTCAGCCCGCCAGATGGCGCAGCGTCACAGTGAAGTGGTAATGGTGGGTGTGGTATTGGAGGTCACGTTGCTCAAGGGGAACTACATAGCCACGTCTACGCAGGGACACTTCCTTTCGCTTGCGCGGTGGTCGACCCGTCCACCGATGATGAAGTCGAGGTTGATGGCCTCGCGAATATAAAGGAATTGACAACGATGACGAGCCTGCCGGATTACATCACCGCACTTCTACTCGCGGCGTTCGTGGTGAGTCTCTGTGTGAGTGTGAGTCTCTGTGTGAGAGTCTGTGGGTCTTTGTGTGGGTGAGTCTCTGTGAGAGTCTGTGGGCCTCTGTGTGGGTGAGTCTGTGAGTCTCTGTGTGAGTGAGAGTCTCTGTGTGGTGAGTCTGTGGGTCTAAGTGTGGGTGAGTCTGTGAGTTTCTGTGTGTGCGAGTCTATGTGTGAGTGAGAGTCTCTGTGTGAGAGTCTGTGGGTCTCTGTGTGAGAGTCTGTGAGTCTCTGTGTGTGTGAGTCTCTGTGAGGGTCTGTGGGCCTCTGTGTGGGTGAGTCTGTGAGTCTCTGTGTGTGTGAGAGTCTCTGTGTGTGAGTCTGTGGGTCTAAGTGTGGGTGAGTCTGTGAGTTTCTGTGTGTGCGAGTCTATGTGTGTGTGAGTCGCTCTGTATGTGAGTGAGTCTCTGTGTGCGAGTCTCTGTGTGTGAGTGAGTCTCTGTGTGTGTGAGAGTGAGTCTAAGTGTGTGATAGTGATTCTTTGCGTGTGAGAGTCTCTGTGTGTGAGTCTGTGGGTCTCTGTGTGTGAGAGTCTCTGTGTGTGAGTCTGTAGGTCTCTGTGTGTGAGAGTCTCTGTGTGAGTCTGTGGGTCTCTGTGTGTGAGAGTCTCTGTGTGTGAGGCTGTGGGTCTCTGTGAGTGAGTCTCTGTGTGAGAGTCTCTGTGTGAGAGTCTGTGGGCCTCTGTGGGTGAGTCTCTGTGTGTGTGAGAGTGAGTCTAAGTGTGTGATAGTGATTCTCTTTGTGTGAGTCTGTGGGTCTCTGTGTGGGTGAGTCTCTGTGTGTCTGTTAAGGGGGAGCGGTAGTGTAGCGGTTAGCGTGCTGCCCTATGAACCTGGCGACCCACGTTCAATTCTCGCTCACGGCCAACATCAGTGACGATTATCTGAACCGGTCCTGGGCCTCCGTGTGAGTCTGTGGGTCTCCGTGCAAATCTGTGGGTCTCTGTGTGAGTCTATGGGTCTCTGTGTGATGAGTCGATGGGTCTCTGTGTGATGAATCGATGGGTCTCTGTGTGAGTCTGTGGGTCTACGTGTGAGTTTATGGATCTCTGTTAATAAAATATGAAGGGTGCTTGGGAGCGTGGCAATAAAGTGTGGGAAGCTGTAAGCCTCAGGCTATTTTGTGCTCGCCTTCTCATCAACCAGAGGCAAAGAGTGGTGGTCGTGGTTACTCCCCACCGAAGATTAACATCAGTGGAGGGATGCAGGCAAGACCGATGAGTCAGATGCCTTTGATAACCTGCTGTCCCAGGTGCTAGCTAAAGTGGCCCTTCAGGATAGAGTCATCTTGTTGGGTGACTTCAATGTCCCAGTGGGTCATGATGTTGGCACCTGGTCGGGAGTGATTGGAAGGCATGGGCTAGATTTCTGTTCAGTCCTTGGGATTGTAGTTACCAACACGCTGTTCTGGAATCGGCGCATCCACACAACAACATGGATGCGTGCTGAGTCCAAGGATGAATATCTGCTGGACCTACCATGGAGCTGACCATCGGCTTGTCATCTGCCATCCCTCCACTGCATTGGTGGTTTGTCTTTCTAGGACCCCATTAAAATCCATAGTGGCCTGGACTCTGATGAAAGTTGCAAGCAAGAATGTCATCATCGCTTGCAGCTGGAGTTGACATCGTCCCCCACTCCTGATGCCGAGGGGAAATGGGCGAGGTTTAGGACTGTGGCTAATGCAGCTGCAATGGCTGCTTTGGATACACGGTCCAGACCTCCCCAGAGACCCTCGCTGATAGAGCAGGTGTTCAGGATAGTTGAGAAAAAGCGACAGGCCCACTCTCATCGGCTACAGCATCCCACGTCAGAGAATTAGGAGGCTTACCACAGCCTTCGCTCGGAGGTTCGGAGAGCCGTGAGGTGCTGCAAGGTTGGGTGGTGGTCGCGGATTGCTGAGGAGATGGAGTCTGCCGCAGTAGGCCGCGATCACAAATCACTCTTTAAAAAGTAACTTGCATAGCCACACCTATCACCATCTTTAGGGGAAAGAAAGGTGATCCGATCTCTGACCCCCAGTAACAGGTTTGCTTATTTGCTGAGCGTTTCTGAGGTCCTGGGGGATGAGAAATTCCTCAGCCTGGAAACATCATGGGGCAAAGTGGGGATGACCCTGCTGAGGCTGCGGTGCCCAAAATATTTGAAGACATAGTTACCCCCTGTGAGTGGCTGGCTCAAGTACCATCTTTTGAGGAAGTACGGAAGGCGATCCAAAATCTGAGACCAGAAAATTGCCGGGAAGAGATGATCTCCCAAGTGAACTGCTGACATAATAACATCTACATCATGGGACCTCCTTTGCCAGCACCAAAAAAAAGGGAAAAAACCTATTCAAATATTTTGGTACTGGCAAAAGAGGTCCCATGATGTAGATGCTCAACCCGAGCTCGCATTACTCTGATAGTGCTTTGTCTTTGTGCTGTATGCCTTTTGGCGTCCTCTGGTCTAACCGTTTGAGACGAGGTTCAAAAGAAAGCTGTCTCTGGTGTGGACCAATCGGTTTCAAAGACAATGCATATATTATCAGAGTGTGTGTTTTTTTGTTTGCATTCTGACCACAAGTATTGTGGTTAATGCAGACATGATTCCTTGTGAAAGGGTTGTTTTTTGCCAGAAAAAAGGGGAAACAAACCTATTCTCATCATAACAGTGTGGACCACTGGATGAATCCTGCAGGATTGGAAGGATGCCCTGGTTGTCCTCCTCTTTAAGAAGGGGGACCGCACTGTACCAACTACAGGGGCATCTCCCTCGTCAGTGTGCTGGGAAAGGTCCTGGCGAGGATTATTCGAAATCGCCTTGCCAGGCACGCTGACGAGAGGGGCTTGCGGAGCCCCAATTTGATTTCAGGCCAGGGCGGTCCTGCACACATAACAGTTGTTTTTGTCTGTTTGCTCCAGCAGAAGTGTAGGGAATTCCAACAGGACCTACATCTCTGTTGTATTGACCTGGTCAAGGCCTATGACACCATCAATAGCCCTGAGCTCTGGGTTGTTCTTTGTGCTTTTGGAGTCCCTGACTCTCTGCTCACAATCATTAGGACCTTCATGATGGTGAGCAGACCCAGGTAAATCTGCATGGCCGGGAGTCGGATCCATTCCCTATTCACCTTGGGGTGCGACAGGGATCTCCTCTGGCACCTATATTATTTCTTGACCACGTAGTTCAAAAAACTTTTCATGGCTGTACCAGAGGAATTCCATCTGATACAGAAACAATGGGAGGCTGATGGATGTTCGAGTGCCATTGAGCGATTTCTGCCTATTGGTCAACCATGTTACGTAAACTGATGATCTGGTGATTGCTGCTCACTCTGAGGAGTCGGAGGTGCTGCTGCTCAACCTGGAGCGTGCCACTAAGAGATAAGGTTTTGCCATCAGCCCCACCAAAACTAAGCACCTGCCTGGGTATTTTGTACCATCGGACACTCCACCCCCACAACTCCCAATCGGTGATGGGGCAGTAGTGGAGAGAGTGCAGAGTTTCCCATACCTGGGCAGTGTGCTCATGACCAGCTCCAATTTGACAGGAGAGGTCTCACTCCGAATCAGTTGAGCAGCATTATCTGTTCATTGTCTGCATAATGCTGTGTGGAAGCTACCTGTCTGTCACTCCGAACGATGCTTTGGGTCTTCTCGGCCATAGTTATGCCCTCCCTTCTCTATGCTTGTGAAACCTCCCATAATGGAAAGTATTCACCGGTTAGAAACATTCAGGCTGGCCTGCCTGCGATCCGTCTGGGGTTTAACCAGGCCACTTCATGCCGAAACAGCTTTTGTTCGGTCGCATAGAGGGGGGTAAGTCGGCGCGGCACGGGCTACAGAAGAGATGGTGTGATGTGGTACAAGAGGATGTAGAGCTGAGTGGACTTGCCGATGACCAGTACCAGTGGTGTCAAGATCGGCCTCCGTGGAGGAGACTCGTGAAGGACGCTGCTGCTACTGGGCAGTTGGAGGGAGTCACCCTCCAGCAACAATGGAGGTCAGAGAAGTGCCGAGCAGCTCGGGGTACAGGTGGTGCTTTGGCCAGTCATCTTAGTCAGTCAACCCATGGCACCTGCATGTTCTGTCCCAGGACCTCCTGCCAACGGGTGTTGGACACTTCACGTGGCCATAAAGTGCACATAGCCTGGCACAAGCATTGCAGTGACATCACCGCCACTTGGCGAATGGCAGTTGTTGCTGTCTGTGGGTCTCTGTGCGAGTCTGTGGGTTTTTGTGAGTCTATGGGTCTCTGTGTGAGTGTTTGGGGTCTGTGTGAGTCTGCGGGTCTCTGTATGTGTCTATGGGGTCTCTGTGGATCATGAGTTTCGAGTTATTTGCGTGCTGTTAGAAATTTCGACACGACGACAATGATGATGGATGATGAAGATATAAGTCACTTCGTTGAGCTGTCATTTGTGATGGCCAAGTCACTTCGGGAACAAATATCTACATAGCTCAATGGGCCTTACCTGGTAAAATACAAACATTTAAATAGTTTTGTGGATCTGTTGGTCGCAAGAGGTGAAATTTTATGACTTCTTGTTAAAACGGCCAAAACTTTTTGGGATTTTTTTCAAATAATTCCCCACTTGGGTGGCATAGGTGGGGGGATCCCCCTCCAATCCACAGTTTGTGAATCATCACAGCCAGTCGCCTCGTCATTCGTTCGCGAGTGGATACATATGTAATAAAGGACTCTGTCGCAGTGTAGATCTCCGTTGTCCTTTATTTGGGTTCGTGTCAATCTCGCCCCTACGGCGTCCTCGCTCAGCCCCGCGGCTCGTCCGTCGAGCACTCCGCAACCACACCGCTGCTCCGTTCTGCAGCCACACTGCTGCTCCGCTCTGCAGCCACCCTGCTGCTCCGCTCCGCAGCCACCTTGCTGCTCCGCTCTGCCCGGACACCGATGGCCGACGGTGCCGTGGCCTCCCAACCCGTGGCAATCACGCCACCCTCTCGTCACTGCCCAGCGTGGCCTCCTCCTGTTTCACTCT